ATAGTTGAATGCCCAATATGGAATTACATAATCAACCACATGGGAATAAGGCGTTAAGTATGGAATTGTTGTTTTATCCATATTAAAAAAAATNATTATTATTATTATTATTATTATTATTATTATTATTTTGTGTTTCATACTAATTATTATGAAATTTATTTACAGACTTCTGCACTGCAAGGGGTTTATGGCGCATTATCGGACATTCAACCATTAATGCCTCAAATCCCTCCAGAAGCGCAGACCGGCTTCCAACAGTCGTACAACTTTGCCTTCTCTTCTCTGACTGTTGGGGGCCAGGGTGTTCCACATGGGGGGCCGTCCAGTCAAGTTTTCTCCCAGGACGAATACATTGCTCCCATGAGGACACAGTCGCACACGGCCAGGCATCAACCCGCCCCCAACATTGGTGGGGGTAGAAGACCTCGGGCCCGTCCCCGCGCTCAGCCGTCAGCCCAGCACATCCAACCTGAGCAGCCCGAGCCTCAACAAGGTGAGATTTTTAAATTAACAATTTCTTTTCTTTTTTTTTTTCTTTTTTTTTACAATCCAATTAATGATTTCTTTTTTTAATTGAATTATTCAGATGAAGAAGATGAAATTGAGCAGGCTTTTCAAACTGACACACTTCTCACACCTCAACCTTCGTCTTCTTCTCACATGGTATATATTCGGAGGGGGTCCAGACAGCGCAAGCCTACAAACCCATTCACTCCTTCCTAGTTACTTGTGTTGAATTCGTGAATTATGTATTTATTTTGAATTCTTGGATTGGTTGTATAAACTGAATTATATCGTTTTGTATATATATTGTTTGTTCGACAAATTATTGTGTTTCATTTGTTTGTTTATATGGTATGTTGGATTATTATTGGGCGAATATGTTGATATTAGTTGCTCGAACAGGTGTATTTGGTTGTGAACAGGTATATTTGATTGTGAATAGGATTTCTGATAAAAACGTAGTGAATGCGTTTTTTAATTTTTTTAAAACATAAAACGTATTTCATGAATACGTTTATCTAACATTTAGGGTTTTGGGGCAAAATTAGGGCACCAAAAATAATTCGGGGCAAAATTACATATAAACCGTATTTACACAATACGGTTTATATTTCGAAATTTTTTTCCGAGAAAAATTATTTGTAGGAATTGTAAAAATTAATTTTATTTGTAAAACGTATTTCATAAACACGTTTTATAATAAAAAATATATTTAAAATTAATTTTAAATAAGAAACGTATTTATATAATACGTGTTTAATTTTTTTAATTTTAAAACGTATTTACCCAATACGTTTTTTTGTAGATTTAGTTAAGTTAATTACGTTAATTAAGTTAACAAATTATTTTTTAGTAAAACGTATTCGGTAAATACGTTTTTTTATTGAAAACGTATTATCTGAATACGTTTTTTAAAAACGTATTCACTGAATACGTGCTTTTTATTTTGGTCGACACTATTTTTTTTTTTTTTTTTCTGTAGATGGGAATATATATGAGTTTTTTTTTTTAAAAAAAAAAATATGCATGTGTTGCGCGGATATAAATGTGAGATGTATTTGATAGTAACGTATTCAATTGAGATTTATAAAGACTTTCTAAGAGTTTAAAAGTTTAAGTATATTCAATTTAAATTTGTTAGGACTTTTAAAAATTTATAAAAATTTTGGAATATTTATTTAAGATTTTAAAGTCCGGCGAGGTATTTAACTTATGTTAGATAGGTTTTGTTAAGACTTTTTAAGATTTGGTGGGAATCTAAAAATCTCAAAAAGTGGTAAAATTTAAAAAGTCTCAAAAAATATCAATTGGAATCCCAATTGAATACACTCTCTTTTCATCTTTCAATTTCATATAATTTGTTATATGAATTTTGAATTAGAAACTCTAAGAATTAATTGAATAAGTTTCTATCAATATATTAATTTATACATTTTTGGAGCTTAAGTAGCAATTTCTCATTTTGATGTACGACACATTTTTTTTTTTTTCTTTTTTTCGGCTCATGAATATTCTATGTGATGCAATTTCAAGTTTCGGATAGACATATATATATAGTCAGCTTTTATTTTCAAATATTGTTTCAATAATTTATATTTAAATAGTTAAAATCAATTACATTTATGGTTTTAAAACTCGGATCGGTGGTTGTCTCGGGCTGGACTCCAAGTGTAACGCCCTGTTATTTTTAAGAGGAAAATAATGATTATTTTTCAAAAATCATAGTTAATTTTTTCGCAAATTAAATTAAAAATTTTATTTAACGGGCGTTACTCAAATAATCACATTTAATCAGTTTAAGTCAACACATAAACAACGGGGTACAACCATCCCGATAAACATCTCATTTCAACAATAAACATGCTTTAACAATTATTCAAGCAATAGAATAATCCCAACATGATAAAATACCAATTCATAATGAAAATCCCAAATTCATCATCCGAGTTCAAAATATCAAAGCATGCAATAAATTCCCAAATACATGGTCTGGTCTCCAAAACAGGTAATAACACGTTCGACAACGCGAAATATAATAGATAAATAAACAGAAACAGGAAAACAGTTCAACAGCAAATAAATTACCCCGCCTCGCTTGTTCTTCGCCATGACCAACATTTCAACCTGAAAAAGGGGGATTAGTGGGAGTGAGCGACCAACATGCTCACTGTGGGAATACCATGCAGTATAATCAATATAAAGACTTAGAAAATCATAATTTCAACATGTAAGCAAAAAAAGAAAGTAATCAGAGAATATGGTATGATTTACTTGTTGTATATTGAAAATTGGATCCACTATGGAGCCAACCGTTGGGTTCATAGCAAAACTGATCGAAATAGAAGACAATCTTCTCCAAACAAGTAAAATTTGTTAAAACAGTTTTTTTAACCAACTATTGATAGATTACTTAAAAAAATTAACTTTTTTTTTTTCATGTCTTAATCTAAAAGTGAAGTCTAAGATTATAATTAACAAAATGAATCCCCTATTTATGTAATAAAGAGAGTTTATAAGAAAAACTCACATGATTTGATTATGATTCTCATGAGTATGAAATGAAATCCTAAACTCTCTCGGCAGGGGCGAAGCCAGAAAATTAGTTGAGAGGGGGCAAAAGACATGACATAATGGATTCATAACCTAACCCTAATGGATTCAGAACCGCTACTGAATCGATAACATTTCGGTAACCAATTTCGGTTACCGTTACACATAGGTCGGTTCAGTTAGGTTTATTTTCTCATCAGTTCGGTTCGATTCGGTTCGATTTTCGGTTTTCAATCAAAAAATACCTGCCCTAGCATGGACAATAAAAGAGAGTTGAAGTCTTTTATATGGGTCAATTAAAATTGTAGAATAATAATAATTAATATACAAAATTAATAGTAAAATAAAAGAAGTGTTGAATTGTTAATTGACAATTGTGGACAAGTTGACCTGGTGAGTACTGTTTAAAAACATTTTATTGTTTCGACTAAAAAAAAGGACTAATGTTTAAAACATAAAATCTGGAGGTGCAAAAATAAATTTAAAGGAGGAACAAATTAAAATTTTTAATATTAATATTAAAAAAAATTTAAATTTGAGGCCCCTAATCATATATGTAAATTCGCTCATGTCTCCCGGTCTCTTAAATCTGTCATAACTACAAAAATCTGTTTCAAAGAGGATAAATCGACAAGATGATGAACTTAATTAAATTTGGACCCGCCCCATCTTAACTTTTTTCTTTTTTTCAAACTTCCAATTTCCCCTTACTTCCACCCCTTATAATCATTTTATTCTATCTTTTTATTCTTATTTCAAGAAATTAATGTGCATACATTAACACATATACAGGAAAATATTAAAAAACGAAGAAGAAGAAGAAGATTACAATTTGTACTCACTAATATATTTCCTTAATACTTTCAGCAAAAATAAGATAAAATATTATAAAAATAAAAATAAAAATATAGATATTTATATTATAATTACAATAAATTCCGTTTAAATTTCATTTCGATTTTGAACAAAAAACAGTCGGCTTAATTTTGAAAAATAAAGAATTCTGTTAATTTAGTTTTATGAGTTGAGTTAACCTTAACCCTGGCCATATGAGTAGCAATTAAAGTAGAGCTTATCCCCATTTTATAATGACCCAAGCTAATTCCCATATACGAACCAACAAGTGTCTCATACATTACAGTCTTCAGATACATAATTGACTTTCTATCCCAAAGGCTTCTATAGAATCAGCAACACTGGATTTGCATAACACCCTTAATTACTTCTCAACGACTTTTAATAAAGTCATGTTTGGCACAAACAAATTTGTAAACTTATTTCCGATAAACTCGCAATCCGAATGATACCGGAAATTCACTTAAAATAAAATTATTCCAAAACAATATGTTGATGCTGGATTTTTTTTTATTTTATTTCAATATTGATGCTAGTTTTCTTTTCACAAAATAACCATCTCCAACTCCAAAGTCCAAACATGGCCTAGAAGGCACTTGGCATGAAGTCTCGGCGAGCTTGCGACTTCACACGGTTGGTGTAATTTTATTGCTTTTTACTTTAAGTGTTCATTGGGTAAATGAGATTCTCAATAAGTAGGTAATAAATGTTCGACTATTATGCGTGCAGCTCACGCGTGCGTC